GATTCGTTCATCAAAGTAGATTTTACTAAGGTATGACTTAACTAACTGATTGTGGAAGTACTAGTTTTTAATTAATTACTAGTAGTACTGATTTAATAAAAAACAATATACGCGCTCTGGTTGAGTTCATGGCATTTACATGAAACAAGGTGCTAATAGCCGCTAGTCGGTGACGCGTCAGCAGCCCTATGATTGGTCCCCGCTAGAAATCTACTGGATGTCATATAGTGTACACGGGGGGGGGGGCAGGCGAATGGATGGAGGGGGAAGATCACTAGTGATCTCGCCCCGGGAACCTTAGTTGGGGAGTAGCCCGGAGCAAAGCCATGGTAAGTTCCTGAACCTGTGTCAGGGACTTACGAAGAAAACTTCTTACCTGAGCTGACAGTCAGGGTTGGCCAGCCTGCCAGAGTCAGCAGCAGTACTATAGATCCGGCTGGTATGTTTCCTGACAACATCACGTTACGTTGCCTGGTCCAAAGTAGCTATCAAGCGGCTTCAAATCAATCTGAGTTCCTGACTCCATCTTCAGTGGGCGCGAACTTACGTAACGTTACATACAGGGGGTGGTGCTTGTAGGTGATAGGAGTGCGCATACGCATGTGCGGAACACTAGTATTGTGGTTATCTGACCCCTTAAAGAACGCTAACCTTTCTTTTCAAAATTGTGGTGGCTCACCGTGGCTAGCTGTGGTAACACAAACAAAGGCACAATAAGTACCAATGGTATTGACACGCACAAGGGAAACGGAAACCTACTCGTAAATAACGTTATATCTCAGTCTTGGTGGCAATACTTTGACAACCTCGAGCTCGACCAAAACAATGTCAGTCGGTGCCTGTGCGCGTGTTGTTAGAGGGACTAGCCTGCTAAAGAAACAAAATATTTGTTTTTTTTATTGTCTCTATCTATAGTTTTTGGTCCTAATTGCGACGTTGCCTGATTTTAATTGCTGATTTTGAAAAAGGAAACGCTTGCAATACTGTGACTTTTGTAAAAGAAAGAAAAGCATGCCATGATGACTCAATGCTACATGAAGTTTGAATTTCATCTTTCACTTTTGACAATGACTCATGCTACTTCTGCTTTGTTAACGACCACCTCAGTGCAGCTTTTGGCGACAAAGAAGTCACGATGACGAATGGTGAACTCAGTCCTAACTTAATTAGGCCATGTTGATTTGATTATATGGATGACATCCGCGCGCGCATGAATTTTCGGCCGTTTCCAAAAAAAAAAAAAGTTTTCAACCATACTGTAAATCGTACAAAACAGTTGCAAAATGAGCAAATATTTACCGTAAGTTGCAAAATAAATAATTGAAAACGAAGCCATTGTCGAAGAATGCCAAAATCAAACGAAAAAGACAAAATATAAAGAAATGAATTTGAAGAGTGGATTCGCCATACTTTGTGTCATTTGCTCAACCCTCATGACCACGTGGATTTCATAATGAAAGCAACTTTTTTTTTTTTGCTAAACTTTTTTTTTATTCGCACGCTCGCATCAGTTTTGGGCTTCCCAGAGGATGTCATCCATATAATCAAATCAACATGGCCTTACCGTGTAGGCCTGAGTAAACAAGTTGGACGTAAGGTACATCAGACAGTCGTTTGAGGCAGACCATAGATAGTGCGCTATGTTCACATCCAAATGTACGCTTGGAAATGAATAATAAAAAAAATTAACAGTGGCAAATGTGCTAGTGTTGACACATTGGCGCACCAAATCCGTAGTGGTTTTTTTTGCACTCAGATAGATTATTAGCCTATAGGCTCGGTGGGCGTCACTCCACCGTACAGGTGGGGAAATCGTGTAAAGTGCTTTTCCCAAGGGCATAACGTTGGGCCACGGTGAACCCGTATCGAACCAGAGACTTATTGGTTCCGAGTCCAACGCTCTAACCGTTGCGCCATCGACGCCATATGGCGAAATTAATAATGCAGGGTTCACAATATTTGTGTTGTCATTAATCATATGATCCTCTAGGTTAACTGCCGGTTTTGACACCCTGTTTGTCGCACATATTGTTAACGTAGATGTACAAAATTTAGGAAGACTTTAACCTTTTGTCAGATGTGGTCTTTTCTGTACTGTTGTCTATTGAACGAATGATTTTAAAGCCTAGGTCCAAATCTTGATTTCTAGCTGTCACTGCTACCAGTATTTTGCGCTATATAAAAGGTAGTAACTCGACGCGCGACTTCTTCATTTTACTCTTGTTGCCGATTGTGGAGGTTTCACTTTCTCGTGAAACTGCCATGGCTTTACGGTTGTGTTCTCCTTGGTACGAAACTTCTTTCACAGGCACGCAGTGTTCTGCACCACGAACAAAGTGATTGACCTGTGGCAGGCTTTCCGACAAAGGAGCGCACTGAAAAGTAACCGAATCGCCGTGTTCAAAAAGCATTCAGCGAAGACAAAGTTCCCCGCATGATGTGTAGCAAGACGCGCTCTGTTGCAGTTCTGCATTCTGTCAGCCTGTCAGGCCTAGGGAAAACAACGCTGTGTTTCCAGTTTTGGGCCTAAAAAGTAGAGTCCGTAGATAGGGATTCTGTCTCTCTTTGCTTTTAGATTTAGATTTAGGCTAAATTTAAGAGAGATATAATGTCCTTGATATTAAAGACACACACTGGCACACGTATACAAACACACTGGCGCACATTTACACACACGCACAGACTCTCTCTCTCTCATCACACACACACACACAAACACACACACACACACAGACACACTAAACACACACACACAGACACACACACAATGACATACACACACACACACACTCACACAGTAGACACACACACACACACACACTGACACACACACACACACACACAGACACACTAAACACACACACAGACACACACACTGACATATACACACACACACACTCACACAGTAGACACACACACATACACACACACAGACACACACACACACACACACACACACACACACACACACACACACACACACACACACACACACATATCGTTTTTGCTCTGTTTCTTCTCCCTCTTCTTCTTCCTCTTTTTCTTCTCCAAACAAATAAGGTCAATGACCTGTACCAGACGGTCTGTTACCATGGTAACTAGTGTTGGGTTACATCATGTTGCAATTTTATAGCAGAAGGGATTTAGACTCCTGTCTGACCATATATATGATATGAATATGTTTGGAGTAAGAAGTAACAGAGCAGACTATCATGCGAAGGTAAACATTATGCACTTGCTTTGCAAATGTTACCTTTTTAGTATTCAACTTTGATTTAGTTGCAACTTGTGCATTTGCCGAAGTTTTCTGACAACTGGGTGTCCCTCGGTAATGAGTCAGAGAAGACAGGCCACCAGAAAACGATTTTCTCCTCCAACATCTGCTTGGCCATGGGCTTTTCTGGCTTGGTCCACCTGAAGGCCTTGACATGTGATATCGCGAGATTCCGCGAGATGTGAGCGGGGGCACCTGTTGTTCGGTTCGGCACTTCCTGGTGTGAGAAACGTGCTTTTATGTTTCACACACATTGAACGGCTGGAGTTACCAACGCAGCGTCTGTACATAAAGACAGAAAGATATTCCCGCTGGAGTTGTACAGCTGGTAAGAGTCATTGCGGTATTTGTATTCTATTGCAACTCAAGAGCCGAAATGAAATGATATCGAAGCGACACGACTGTGTATAAGGGGAGGGGGGCGTCCGTGTGGATATTAAAATGCAGGCTATAGCCGTCGGTCTTACAGTATCATATGTTATAACAGTGGTCTTTAGTATCCCTTTGTTCCACCACTTATAGCTAACAAGATTGATTCGTTAATATAACCGATTGAACCTGGGAAGAACTACGAAGGACGAGCGTTATTTGGGCCGACTTGGAGAGGACAAAGTTCAACCATGCAACAGTTTGCTTGTTCATGGAGCTGTTATCCATACGTAATAAGTTTCATGGTGTGTTTGTAGGCGTTGATCACTACTTTAAACTACAGGACAAAATACCCAGTTGATTTGTTCAATACGAGTGTTTGCAGTTTTTGTTTACATCAATTATTGGTAAGCATGTATACAAATGCAATTGGGGGGGGGGGGCCTGCATGCCCTTTTTTGTCAGGCGTAATCAGGCCTTTTTAGTCTTTGTAATCCATAGGCAGCCTCCCCCAAAATCAACGTAATTCGTAGTAGAACATAAGCCACAAAGTGTAAAGTCGTAAAGTCTTAAGGGTACCGAAGTAACGGGTTCCTCACTGGCCGCCCAGTGCGGAACTCATGGGGAAAGTGGCGTCGGCACTCGGGGCCCTGTGCGGAAGAAAGCTCCGCACTGGAATTCTAGTGCAGAAACGGCTTTGTTCCAGTGCTGAAACACCGTCAGGACTGGAATTCCAGAGCTGAATCTTGACTCGGCACTCGTTTTCCGGTGCTAACTCCCACTCAGCACCGAGGCCGTTCACCACTGGATAGCCAGCACTTGGAGGCCGTTCACCACTGGATAGCTAGTGCTAAATTCCACTCGGCACTCGCTACCAGTGCTCGGAGGCAGTTCACCACTGGATAGCAAGTGCCGAAGTCCCTAAGTAACGGGTTCCTCACTGGATCGTTCCATTGCTCGGTGACTCTTAGTGCTGGAAGCCGAGTTCCCAAATCATTTCGGCACTGGGCTTCGGGTGCTTACGTCGGCCGCGCGGCGTACAGTACAGTATCGTAGGCCAAGTATATGTCTGTAAAAATGTGAGGATCTGAGCCTTGCAGTATAGTCCTGCCGATCACCTTGTTGTCCCGATTATAATTTGCTTCCCGGGCGGTACGATCTCGAAAATATAAGTGTTAGAGTTCAAATGCAGCATCTCGGTACCCTTTCTAAAGACAAGGTTTGATTTGCCGATTTAGAGTGTCCAGTGCTGAAGCCGCCGACACTGGACACCAAGTGTTGACGTAACTTCGGCACTGGAGATCTAGGACGGAAGCCGCCTCACCTCTGTATACCGAGTGCTGAGAAAGGAACCCGTTACTTCGGTACTTTTGCCACAGAGACTTTAACGTAATTTGTAATCGGTGGCAACAATTTTGCGTAATTCGTAATCACTACACCTCCATGCAAGCCCTCAAATAGTAGGCAAATACAATTATAATTGGTAGGCAAATCCCCCAACCATCGCCCACATTTTGCCTACCACTAGCTGGCCATGACGTCATGTTGATTGCTCGTATGTTTTGCTGTCAGAATCGGCAGAATCCTGCAGGTAGCCTGGGTCCCTCCTCCGTAGTTTTTGCCCGCTCCCTAATGTCGTTGGCTACCAGAGGGTCTTGACTTGCTGACATATGTAATGTCTGGTGATAACGTCATGTAATGAGGTAGCCTGAGCAGCGCGATAGAAGATAAGAATAAGATCTATCTTAATGTTGCCGTTCGAACGGCTTACCTATAATATGTACACACCTGTCCTACAAGAGCACCCCCAAAAAGCGCTTTGACGAGTAGGACCAATCACCGCGCTCGTTCAAAATTTGAACGAATATACAGATTCTAGACATTACATGTCCAGACTCCGTGGTAGCCAGCAACATTAGGGAGCTTGCGAAAAACTTATTTGCATATCAATCAACAGTTCCTACTTTAATAAACCTGCTTTTCTCATAACTCTCCAGTGTCACTGACAAAAGGTAGTGGATGTTACCTGAAATTCTGACCATTTTCAAATAATATCCAGTTGCTTGAGTATACTGTATTTTGACATATTTAATACTTGGATGTCTAACCTTCACCGACCTATGGACTGCTTTCATATTCATAATGAAAAGAATGTCTTTTTTATGAAAAAAATTGAACTGTTCTCCAACTCAAAATTTGACTCACCAGATATTTTCGACTGAATCACTCAGTCTTCCTCAGCTATCTGACCCAAATGCTGTGGACACGTGATTTTTCCCACATGTGTCATCAGCAAAGGGT